AAACCTTAATTGATATCCCACACATCTTTGTTCCCCTGCTGTGTAGACCTGAAGATGTCCAGGAGAATCTTCACGCAACACTTTCACCCATAGTACCCCGTGAGTGTATTTGTTTTTCCTTGGAAAGTAAGGAATTAATCTGTGAGAGCTTGAGTAGAAGTTCTCCTTTAGTGCAAAATCTCACATTTTGATGCATTTTTGTGCATTTTGGGAGTTGTACTTTGAAACTATGTAGTGCAGCATGACAAGTATCAGCCCTGTATAAATATGGATGGAGTTTAGAAGAAAAACCAGTTGAACAGGAAGGATAGTTTCTTGGATCCATGCCAACATTTTAATGGCCTTCAGATTGCTAGGAAGGGTACCAGGGATAATTGCCTAGGAGTCTCTTTCCCCAACTATATTCCTTAGGTAAGACGCGTGAGTACTGAAACGGCTTGTTTTGCAGAAACATCCGTGTCCCGCCATGATCACCCAGGAAGGGGGCTTACAGCCTGTGGGTACCCACTACCTCAGAAGGAGTGGGGGAAGGGAAATTCATACAATCCACGGTGAGAGGCATTGTAGTTGTTCTCAGTTTGGGAGAGGAATCAAAGCAGGAAATTTTGTAGGCCCCACTCAGCATTCCTTGGACAATTTGGGGAAACAGTACAACTGCATGGAAGGGGAGCAGAAGATTTCTTTTGCTTGTTTCTCATCCATATTGCACCACTGTATTCAACTTATTGTATCATTTTACACTGTATACAGTATGTTTTCTTGTATATTGTACAATGTATATTTTAATTGTTAAGCGATGTGTTTTAAAATCATTATACTTGCTTTTATGTACTTGCTGGGTCACTGTTTCTTATTTAAACTCTTTTTTAGTTGTTTGTGTTTATTTTACTTTTGTTTATTGTTTATTTTTGTACTTGTTGGTTGGCTCAGGTGCTGGACTCTGAAATGCATTGGGATGTACTATGATTACTTGGTGATTTTATTTTTTTGTTGACTTTCTAATTTAACTGTATTTTTAATCTTGTAAACTGTTCTGAAAGCTGAATTGGCTATGGAGGATGATATATAAAAACCTGTGCAACGAAACAAAGTAACCCACAAGTATTGTGATTCTCATGTGTGGTTTCGTTTCTTCCTAAGCATCCACAGATTGAAAGTGGAGTGCTTTGGCTGGATCTGGTCCCTGGACAGATACTCACACTGTTTATATGAAGTTGGAAGTGGATCCTTTAATTACCTAAGCAGTGTCATAGGAAACAAAGTATATTATGTAGCTCATTCCTGATGGGCTGCTCTTGCGTGGAGAAAGATGTTTGCTGCTTGATGTTTGCTTGCTGATATAGGGAGGAGAAAGGATGGAGATCACCCATTTCTTCTTGTTTTGGTGATAAGTAAATGACCATCCTACTGAAGAGTTACCTGTGTCTACATGTACCATCCTGGATTTCATAATCTTCATCAAATAGGTTTTCCAAAAAGTCTTGGTGAGTTGTGATAGGTTGGTACTGGGAAAGGGACCTTTTCTGTCACTGTGCTGTGCCTCTGGACCTATATACATATATTTATTCATTCCAGGTCTTTTCATTTGTTTGACTTTTCAATATTATTTTCATCTGTGTTATTGTGCAAATTTTATGCTGCATGAATGTCACATATTTTGTTAATATGTGATTTTATTTTGTGTGTATTCACTGTTTTGGTCTTCTGTGACCATGTAAGGTGCTCCAATAATTCACTGTATGCCAGGATATAAATGTCCTGATAAAGTCAAATCTACATGAGGGTTAAAGAGGGAGAGTTTTGATATCTACGAGGCTTTACATATTTGGAAAATGTTCTTGATGTTGAACAGCAGCATGTCTTACAAACCCAGCCACTGGTGGTATGTCCGGGAACAACAACCAAGGGTCATGATTTGACCCTCACAGAAACCCCAGTGATTGTGCTCAGACCACAGACCACACAGTACAACCTCATGGGGGCTGCATGTTATTAATGGTGGACTGCATGCACCTGGCATATGCAGTGGCTCTTTGTAGATGATATTACACCTAATAAGCCTGCTGGCTCATGCAAAATGGCTGTCTCAAATGACTGGCACATCATGTGTAGAGTGTGCAGGAAACTCAGAGGCCACTCTTTAGTCCACGGCATGGAGGCAAGGGCTTCCCCCGACTGATGACTCCCTTTGCGTCAGGTAATTAAAATAGAGTCTTTCTGTGGTACTTCTCACTTCTCTAAAATCAACTATTTAAAAAAGCTTAATGCATTCATTTGTTTATTCCAAATTTCACTTCACAATTCTCCAGTTCAAATATCATGGGTTCTTGCAGCTATCTTTTTTTTTTTTTTTAAAGAATGTAAATGTAGAACAATACCACTTTGTTTCTTCTGATTCACATGGTGAAGTTGCTTATGGCCATCTCATTCCTGTGTGCAAGAACAGGGACAAGAAGGAAATAGAGAGGTATAAAAAATGTTCACACAAATCATCTCATGCAAAATGGTCTCAAATGTGAGCTTCACAGGACAAATCCTACACGTGTGTTTGAAAATAGGTCCCACTGGGGCTTATTCGGCGTGGCTTTCTTAAAGGATTTCAGCCTCAGGTATTTTACATGTGTGTTGGCTAAGCATCTCCCCCATTCCTAGCAGCAGTGGGCGAGCAGGGTGTTCTAAGTAAGGAAGGTTAGAATTTTGTTCAGTTCACATGTTAATATGAACATACTTCTTATGCATTGTTCAAACATATATGCAAACTGAAATGCTGTTATTCTCCACTATGATTTGTACTTCTCCAGAAGCTGAAATGCCGTTCTCCAAAACTGCATTAAAATGTGTATACTAGTGAAATTATCATAAAATACATAAAGGAAATTGCATTCTCTTGGCTTCTCTGACACTCCTAAACCTCCTCATTATGTTAAGATTCACCTCCAAGAGGGGGAAAACAATGCATATATTAGACAAAATTGTATACGAAAATGTATATATTAAGAAGACATGATAAAACTGCAAAAGGATTTTGTGAGAAATTTTTAAAGACTGACAAACTGATTCAGAAACAGCTTGGGATCAGGTTACCTGAAGCATCATCTCCTTGCACATATACCAGACCAGATCCTGGAGAGGTTCTTTTCTGGTACCCCTACCAAGTGTGGTCCAGCAATTAACTTTTAGTGAAAGGGCTTTTTCTGATAATGACCAACCTTACCAACTTGTTGATGCCAAGCCAAGACAACCCTCACAATCCCTGCAGGTCTTTGTAGTAGACTTTGTATTGCCTATTTTAGATCCAGCATTTTATTCTTTCTGCCCTTTGACTTGGATTTGCTTCATCACATATTATTGCACATCAATACCGATTTTTTTTTGCTCTGTTTTTATCCTGTAAGCCACCCTGAGAACTTTTCATTGAAAAGTTGCATGTAAATATTATAAATACTAAGCAAAATGCAAGAAGTAACTTGCAGTGCTACTTTTGGCATCTCTTTTGGGCTGAAGGAGCACAAATGCATCTCTGCTCTATGAGATGCATTCACAACTGCAGCTTATATGAAGCTGCTCTGAGATTCCTTAGGAGCGATTACACCAGTGAAGCTGGCTTAATTTGGATTTTATAGAAGCTCTCCATGGTGCTGAGAGTTAACCCCAATCAGCACCATGGACAGTTCTTTAAAACCTTAGTGCAGAACCTGGAGTAGATACAGTGCCCCACTGGCATTTGAGCCACCATTCTCCATTGGATTACCCTAATTAGTATCTTCAGATGGTGTTAATACCTGGAACACCTGCCAGAGCCATGGGATGACTCATGACTACTCCTGGTCATGCCCTACCTGGAAGAGCCTGGGGCAATTCGCCCCTTGGAAAGACAGAGGATCAAGTGTAGGTAGTAGAAGTTCAAACAGAAGGCAGAGTGTGGGGTTTTCCTTTAAGAACAACATGCTGAAAATGAACCAGTTGTACTGATTTATAGCTAGACATTTATTTATGTTTTTATACTGACCAGTAGCCTAAGCTCTCCGGGTACTATACAACAGCCACTCTCTGTTGCAGACAACAGCATTCCAGCTCAGTGCTTTGCCTTGATCTGCTGAACAGCATAGATTCCTGGACCTACGGCCACTGATCTTGGACACCCCTCTGGACCTGGATACTTACCATGATGAGCCCCAAGAATTGACATCTGGACTGGTTTCTCCTTTTGACAACTACCAGAAGATACTTTGGCCTAGAGCCAGAACTTGCTGACATAGGAGCAGGATAATTCCTGGGCTTCTCACATTATCTTATTTTTTATTTTATTTTTGGTTAAGTGCTATCTCCAGGCAGCTAGATCTAACCACTCTTTGAATTTCCCACTGCATTTTTCTTGAGTGCTGCTGGAAATTAAAAGGATGGTTCAACCAAACCTACTAGCACTTAACTGAATGCTGCCAACAGAGCCTGGTAAGACCATCAGGGCTCAGTTTCCTCTTTGGATGCTATGCAGGGCAGGATTGTGGAGGCAAAGGTTACCTCCACTCTCCTTCTGTCCTGTAAAACTCTTAAAAATGTGAATTTTGCTTATGTAAGAGTTGCAACTTGGAGTGCAAGGGAAGGAAGCTGAAGGTTTGCCCAGGCACTTTGTATTGTGGTTCTGCCTGTCTCCTTCCCAGAAGGCCCACAAAAGCTCATCTTTAAGGTCATTCTTTTGACCTGGAGATGCAACTGGTGCAGCAGGAAGGTTGTCAGACCTTAAGATCCAAGCAACAAGGTTGAAGTGCTTTCTCAACACTGTAGCTAAGTCTCTAAAAATCCTATAGCTATCTAGACTCCCTCTGGCTGCACTGCAAGTCTGTCCTGTTCCAACTCACCTGCTTCCCCAATCATTAAATAATTCTGAGTGAGATCTTTCTTATCTCAAGTTGCTTGTGTTTTGCTTAGGAATGGCATTAAAAAAAAGTTGTATAATTATTTCTTCAAAAGGATGGCATATTAATTACAGGCCTTTTCACCTAAGGAAGACTTTCCACAATCAAATTACCATATAATCTCTGTATTCCTCTTCTATCATCCTCTGGAAGGCGGAAGTTATTTGGGTCCACATAGGAATAGACAGGGAACATCAAAGCATTGGGAACATCTGAATGAGCAAGTCCCAAGGAGTGACCAAACTCATGGGCAGCAACAAGGAAAAGGTTGATTTCTAAAAAACAGAAAGCAGACAAGTGAAGATAATTAGTTACCGTATTTTTTGCTCTATAAGATGCACTCCCCCCCCCCAAAAGTAAGGGGAAATGCCTGTGCGACTTATAGAGCGAATATGTGTGTGCAGTAAGTCTGTCAGATGTGCAGACCATGGGGAAGTGATGGGGAATGTGCCTGTGATTATGTGCCCATTTGGTTCAGAATATTTTTTTTTCTTGTTTTCCTCCTCTAAAAACAAGGTGCGTCTTATGGTCAGGCACATCTTATAGAGCGAAAAATACGGTATGTCATATGTAGATGTATACAGACACACAAACACGAACACAAGTATGCAATAATCACAAGTACACAGAAAGCATTTCCTGTAGAGAAGATCCCATTCCTTGCATTTTCATAGAATGGCTTTACCTCTGTTGGTTTCTGACCAGGTCTCATCCTCATCAAAGTGAGCATCTCCACCTTCACCCCATCCAGGAGCAAAAGCATGGGCCAGAGTTCCGCTTCTCCCATCAAAGGGATAACCATCACCATGGGCTGAAAATGAAGGGAAAGTCAAGGTACAAGATGCAAATCAATTGCAAGAGATTCCAGATTGCGATTGTATTGCATTTAGCATCTGGAAAAAGTTAGATGGGAGGAACCGACATTTGTTCTTTTGGGGGCATGTATCATATTTCTGGGCTTTTGTCACCTTGCATAGGGTAACTTAAATGCCAGGAAGAATTATTCCCATTTCTCTTTGGACTCAGAGGAACTACTGGTTGTCTTGTCCTTGTTAAAACAGATTCCTTATTAATTTCCCTCTATATGGACAATAGCACGGTATATGTGCAGTACAGATAAAGAATTACACATCTGGTGAAAGCCCCCAGACTGGGAGGTGTCCGATCATTCAAGGGAGGGCAGGCAGAGGATTGGAGGAACCTTTGCATCTCTCTTGTGCCCTAAAGGTTTTGCTAGATGGGCTTTTCAGACAATTGAGCAAGGGTGCTTCAGAAAGGGGAAAGGCATGGTAGAAAAGGCACAGGATAATGAATATCGTGGCCTTTCCAGTCTCATCCCCCGCTTGTACACTGGGACGCCCTCTCTGCTCCTCCAAGGTTGCTCTCTAGTCCTGGAGGGCCACTGGTGTGGTTCTTTATTTTATATATTTATTTTCTATATTGCCCAATAGCTGAAGCAATCTTTCCTTGCCACTGCCTCCTGCTTCCGAGGTAGTTTTCCAACTCCTCCTTCCAAGGTTGGATCCTTCTTTCCAACCTTGGATGGGGGAACCTGAACAATCCTTTGGTCCCTGGGAAGCTTGCCTGGGTTTACTCTCTTTATTTACCTTATTAGAGGCTTTCTGTAGGTTCCCAATAGACCAAGAAGATGACTCTGCCTCTCAGTGCCCTCAGAAGCAGATCTTAAATGTTCTCAAAAAGATACATTAAAATGTGTATATTTAAAATATGCTTTAAAATGTGATCCTGTTTTTAATGGTTGGGGATATTTTGAATGGCATGTTTTGTGTTCAGGCACCAAAGAGATGTGAGGCATAAATGCAAAATATAAAACTTAATAACTTATGAATCCTTACCACCAGAAGCAAAGAGAATTTCAATATCAGCAGGTCTTGTCGTTCTTCTGAACTGCAATGGGGTCACATCGCTCCATACCTTAAATGCCTTTTCTATGGCCATGTTCACTTTGTGTTTAGGCAGATCAGGAGTATAGTTATTAATCCTTTGAGCAATGGAGAAAAATGCTACTTTAGCATTTAGGACAGCCTTTTCCAACCTTCAGAGGCATTTGAACTACAACTCCCAGAGTTCCCATCCAGCAGGGCCATTGACCCAGAATTCTGGGTGTTGCAGTCCACATGTGTCTGGGAGGCACAAGGTTGGGGAAGGTTGATTTGGGAAGTCACTTTTTATCTCTCAGAAAGGTAAAACTTAACTAACCTGTAAGTCAACAGATTTTTATCCCATTTTGGTGTTCCTGGAAAGGTCCTGTACTCTGAGACATCTGGAACTCCACATCTAGGCTGCTTCGTTATGCTGGCAGTGTCTGGATCCACTTTTCCTGTTACAGTCAAATGGAAGAATTTCTGCATTTCTTTGATTTGTTCTTCTAGGGGGTGCTTGATTTCTTTATCCGAGGATGGAAAAAACTTGTCAAGATAAGCCTGGGTAAGAAAGTGGGGCACAAATGGAGAGAGTTTTACATTGCATCTCTCACAGCCACACAGGCATCTTGTGTACTCCCCAAAATTTCACAGGCAGAAATCAACACAACTAAAAAGAGCAAGGCAGTGGCATTGAAACAGACCTAACAAACATGGTAAGAAGCTGGGATAACATGAGATACCTTCTGGTGCTAGAAAGATGAGATTCAGTACCTGATGAGCCATCCATGGCACTGCATTCCAAAGTATAATGAAAATGAGGCCCATTTCCCCATTTTCCCATTCAGCACCAGTGTTTAGTGGTACATTTTGAAGGACAGATGATCGTCACAACCCACATTTTCTATAGGAGAGTCCAAAAATGTAAGTGGCTGCACTGATCCAAATCAATAAACCTCTCAATATCTCTCTCTTTCTTTTTCTTTCCCCTTCACCAGAAGGTTTCTGGGTGGGAGAAACAGAGGAGAGCAGGATGGGCCGCCCCAGAGGAGAGGTCCCTGGGCTTGGGCTGTGTCGGAGAAGAAGCTGCCTGGCCTCTGCAGAGATCAGTGTGGGTCTGTCATTCATGTAGACTTACACTCATCTTAAAATTATTTTCCCTCATTGAATGATCAATTACATATATTACTTTTGTATATTAAATAAAACACTTTAATTTACAAGATGGAAATGTAATTCATTGTGTGGTCCTCGGATTCTGTGTCCAAGTCCTCGTGTGGCCCTTGGACCCTCCTTCTCTAGGGCATCATAATAGCACAATCTCCAGAAGTGAAATGTTACTGTTAGTGTTGCTCTTCCATCCTCATCAAGAGATTTGGTTGAGATGTGAGTAGTGACATAACAGCCGCATGAATCTGTTACAGCTCAGCACACATTCATTATAATCCTTGTGAAGAGCACCGATTCAAATCTAGTCTTGTCCATGGCGTGTTGACTTTCTATCTGAAACATTTGTTTAAGGAAAAATATGAAGGAGCGTTCAAACAGGCTCCAATCTCATACCTACATTCTAAAGCAGGGCAGTCATATCATGCGGTATTGGTTTTGCTGATTGTAGAAATCAGTTCTAAGTTGATTTGTGTGTATTAGAAATAAAATATCTGAAGCTAGCACTATTAGGGGAACCTGAATAAATGCATAATTTTAGGGAGACAGTTTTGAAAAACTTCCTGAAAAATCACTATATCATTTAAGTTTATGACTACTTTATTTCTTTGAGATCCAATTTTGGTTTAAACATTTATGTTTAAATCGGCCTAGGAAAGAAATCTCAAGGGAAAACACAACCTTGAGCTTTTGTATTTTGAATACTTTCTTCGGGAAGCTTCAACTATAAGGTGAAGAGAAAATGCACAGAGTGTTCAGATCTAGAATGTTAGGAAATTCATTTTGTTATGCTGATCAAAAAAACAAAATTTTACAGCATTAGTAAATGGAGGTTATAGGGTAAAAGCTTGATTTAAACATAGCTTGCTTGATTGCTTACTTTCTAAGACAAAAGTGAGACACAGAATAGATGCAAATTAAAACAACAAAGCTAATATCATAGAGATTTCATTTTGTTTTAACAAGTTGAGCATTTTTGCAATTATTTAGGAAATGCCTAAATAAAGCAGAGTGCAAGTAATTTTAGCTTTGGACTGTTTCTTAATCATCATCAGCCATTCTCCTATGCACATCCCACCCTTAAGAATTAAAGTAGTTAAATTGTGAAAAGATTTTGGATTATGCCTTGGGCGTTCCCCCTACACCAACACAACCCCTCTTGCTTTTATTGTTACTTTGAAAAGGTGCATGCCTCCCCTCTTAGCTCAAAGCAACTTACAAAACTAAGACAACACAGTTATAAAATCAGCTTATCTAAAATAACAGTCTCAGAGTATCAGCATCTGTCATTATCCTCTTTAGCTGTGAACTTTTCTACATGTGCCTTCCTTCTGCATTTCAGATAGCGATGCTCAGCTTTCGTCCTTAGCTCTCCCTACCCCTCCATCCCTTTGTCAATTCTGGCAGAATGAGGAGCTTTTGCCCTTTATGAGCAGATGATGTTTTCTGTATCTATTCTGGAATGAAAGGTATTGGAAATGCAAGGTAAGATTGCTTAAATTTGAGAATAGGAAGTTGAAGAGTTATAACTTTTCTTCCTCTTGCAGAGCAGTACACCTTTTTTAGAAGACAAAAAGATCACTGGAATTACATACATCCTTTTGATGAATCTTGCATGAATGTATCCTCTTAATTGTTAAATTAGAAGGAACCAAACAGCAGGACCCAGTATGGTGCAGTGGTTAAGACCATGGAGCTGGGACTAAGGTGATCTGCTCAGCCACGGAGCCAACTGGGTGACTTTGGGCCAGTCACAGACTCTCAACCCAGCCTGTCTCACAGGGTTGTTGTTGTGGTGACAAGATTGGAAGCAACAGCAGGAGAATTATGTAAGCCACTTTGAGGTCTTTGTAAGAACAGGACCAATATAAATCTAATTATTATTTTTAATAATAGAATTGTACCTGCAGTGTGCTCTTAGTTAACCTTACCACAAAGCATGGTTAATACCTTTATTCCTTTATTTATACTTCTCTATAAACCAAAGTTCATTGTGTAGCTTTTAAAATTAAAATAAGCAAGGCTGTTTTAAAAATAAACCAAGATACAGTCAATAAGCTATTAGTATAAAATCCTACACATTGCATTAAGAGAGAAAAGTTTTGCAGCAAAAGGTAAATCTAATCCTTAGATTAGATCTAAGGTGGAAGAGTAACAATTTATCATTCTAAAAGAGCACAGAATGACAGCAGCATATAACATGCCGGAGAATATAAAGAGGTCTTTGCTTGGTATGAGAAGGATATTAAAGGAGGCACCAGGGGACCCTGTCTGGGGAGGGCCTTCCACAACTGAGGGGCTACTACCAAGGATACCCTTTCTCAAATTTGTCACTTGTTAAACAATTCATGACTGGATCAGGAATGCTGGGAGTTGTAGGACATTTTCTGTCTAAAAAGACAGAGGTAGGATGCTAATCCTGTGAATTTTCATCAGCTAGCATGCTTTCTTTGTTTTCAGATGATGGGTGTTCTGGGGTCTGATACAATTAGCCAGATGCCTTGCTCTTACCCTTGGCTGGGCCCTTTTTATTTGTATTTTTATTCTCTTAATGTTCTTTTATGGTAGTTAATTGATTTTTAATAAGTAATGCTTTATCTATAGTATTTTATTAGAAACATAGAAACAGAGTGAGTCAGAAGGGGTCTCCTGGGCCATCTATTCTGACCCCCAGCTCCAGCTGGCTCTGCTCACAACATGCCCACCATGTGCATGTCCAGCCTATCCTTGCACACCCTCACCGATAGGTCCTTAGCCACCTCCCATGAAAGCCCATTCCACACCCTTGGGGTCCTGACTATCAGGAAGTACTTCCTGGCATCCAAATGGAACCTTGGCTCCCTGAGCTTTGCTCCGTTGGAGTGCGTCCTGCCTTCTTCTGCAGGGGAGAACAGGGCTCTACCCATCTCCATGTGACATCCCCTCACATACCTGTATGTCGCCAACAGATTCCCTCTGAGTTTCCTCTTCTCCAGGCTAAAGGGACCCAGTTCCCTCAATCTCGCTTCATATGACATCCCCTGCAAATCGGCCGCTAACCTTGTGACCCTAAGCTGCACTGACTCTAACCTGGCTATATCCTTTCTGTAATGAGGGGCCCAAAACTGAACACAATACTCCAGTTGCATGAGCACCAGAGTCATATAGAGTGGTAGTAATACCTCTCTTTATCTAGAAGCTACACTTCTGGCTATGCAACCAAGGGTGGCGTTCGCCCTCTTGACCACCACATCACACTGCTGACTCATGTTTAGCCTGCAGTCAACCAGTACCCCGAGGTCCCTTTCACAAGTGCTGCTCTCCAGCCACTTGTCCCCTAACCTGTACTTATGACACCCATTCCTATGCCCCAAGTGCAAGACCTTGCACTTATCCACATTGAACGCCATCCTGTTGTCTCCTGCCTCTATATTGTTTATATAGTTTGTTGGAAACCACCCAGAGAACTTCGTTGATGAGAGGTACAGAAATGAAATAAATACAAACAATATTTATGTTGGAGGGAATGTGATCTAAGGGTCTGTTGCCAAGAAGCAATGGTTCTTTTAGGATTCAGAAACAATAAGCACATTCATGGGCAAAGGCTAAAGACTTTTATTAAGAAGGAACAAATTCAGAGCAGAAGATGAAAGCACAATGCTATCTAGTCTGACCCTGGTTCCAGCTGGCTCCACTCATGTAATGCAATGACTGCAATGAACAACTGTAGAGCATAGATTGGATAGCCACATGTTGGGAATTACATGAGCGGAGCCAGCTGGAACCAGGGTCAGACTAGATGGCCTGGGAGACCCCTTCTGATTCGGTTTATTTCTATGTTTCTATATCCCCACTGCCCTGGAGAACTTCAGAAGTCCTCCAATAGCCATCCTGCATCATTGGTCCTTGCCTGGCAGTGTTTCAACAAGTCATTTATACTATTATCCACGTAGTAACCCCTCTTTGACTCTGGAGATCTACTCCATTGACTCTGAGAATGTTTGACAGTAATTCAACCCAGATGGATCCAGTTGCTCAACTGCAGAGTCTCAAACAGATAATTGGACCTGAGACAATTGGCCCTGCAAAGCACACTGCAAACAGCAAAAAGCCTTAGATAAAAGAAAGAGCAATTTGTATGCTATTCAGTCCTTGGAATAATAATTGCTTTCTGCATTGGTGCTGCATGGGCATACAATGGGCACTATTAGAGTGCAAGGCTGATCAGCCAACTGAAACTCTCAGGGTTACAGCAAAAGTGCATCCTGCTGACTATCAATGCAAAAATAGCCACAAAAGGGAAAAGAACTCTGCTTCTCTCTTTTCAGTTCATGCCGAGTCATCCAGAACACAACAATTTAAATAATTCAAGATGTGTACAAATAATTATTTCATCACAGGCCTAAAAGTGGAACTGATCTCAGGAGGAAGTCTGGTGATCTGTCCTTCAAATGATGCATGCTTTTTAAAGCTGTTTGGGCTGTTGTTGTCTGCCAAGATATGAATACAGATCGTGTGGAACTGCATCTGTACCTCTCCACTCACCGAATAAATCAGTGTGATCTTGTGCCCCTTAGTTTATCCATAGGAAGTCTGGGAGGCTTGCAGGCTTCTCGTGGCTTGTCCTTTTGTCTGTGTGG